GGTTAAAGTAAAAGGATGAAGTCTGTCCCTGAGCCTGTGCGGACCGGATTTGTTCAATGTTAAAGTTATGACGCTGGATTTTACGGTGACGTCACCAAACCGTACCGTGAGGTGAGGTAAATCTTTGTGTAGGTCAAATGATAAATTCATGTCCTGTTCCAAATACATTGAAAATTGTATAGGATGCACAGCAGCAGTGACGCATGTAGCTCTGGGGACCATGTCTCGCAGAATGGGGAAAATTGAGTATCCCAAAGTCCCCCAGATCCAATAAGTAAAGTAAAGTTATTAAGAAAGCCATTGTCCAAAAGACACAATGATTGTTGATGCTGAATTAAATAGGCTGCACAAACTTAGGATGGCATGTAAGGCTCCAGCCAGAAGCTCAGGTCCTGGTGGCTTGCTCGCAGAGGGCTTCTGCTAGCACAGTGGCCAATGAGGTGTAGAGGGCTTCAATCCACAGCACGGCGCCCGATGTAATGCACCTGAGCTTTTTCTAGCAGCACAGGCCTTGGTGTGGTGCTGATGTCTTCCACTAGCAACACAGATAAAGTTGGTTCAGCCGGCAGCACAGGCCCCGGTGCAGTGAGATGGCTTCAGCAAACAGCACAGGCGCTGCTGAGGTTCAGTTGGTTTATGCTAGCAGCACAGGCCCTGGTGTGGTGCAGACAACTTCTGGTAGAAGCAGAGGTCCCAATAAATAGACCACTTTCCATGAATTTAGAGAATGCTTTAAAATACTCTTAAAAAAGCTTCTTGGAAAAAACTGAAATCCATTTAAAATAGTAAAAAAGAAAAAATACCCCAAAAATTCAAAGCAGAAACTCATCAAGGAGACATGCTGCTGCCATCTTGTCTACATCATTCTACAGGTTAAGGGCATCAGAATGACATTCAGGCCAGATAGGTGTGTCTGAATGGCTGCAAAGAGAGATTATTGCATCATTCAGACACATTTGGTTTTATTAAAAATGGCAAGTCCTTTTGAATACAGAAAGAACGAGTCAAAAGGTGCTTTAATGCAGCTACAGTGTGTATATATATGGAGAAAACAGTGAAGATATGATTCACAGGACTCTGGAAGAACTTTAAGAGAAGAAGACTGGGAGGTTTTACGGTTCTGAGTGTACAGATCAACAGATCCAGCTGCATGATGGGAAATGTTCTCTGCAGTACTGATG